TAGGCAAGGCTGAAGCCAATATTGCTGGATAAGTGGCATGTACAAAAATGATTTGTAAGGTTTATACTAGACATTTCGGTATCAGGAGGAGAGCCAATCAACTGGTCTTCCCTTGCAGATAATTCACCCATTATATAAATGTAATATATATATGCTGCTGGTCTATAGGCCACACAAAAAAGTAGTGTGTAGTGGAAGGCCCATGGGCTTCAAGGCAGATGGAGCTGGCTCACATCCTGACTCTGCTATCTACCAGCTGTGAGACTGTGGAGAGTTACTTTCTCTCTCTAAAACTCACTTTCGTCCTGTGAGCATAAAGTGATTTGCCTAACCCATCAACTGGCACAGAGTAGATGCTGAGTAAATAGCATCTGCAATTAAAAGTAGCAGATGATGCCGGGTGCCGTGGCTCCTGTCTATAATCCCAGCAGTCTGGGATGCCCAGACAGGTGGATCACCTGAGGGCAGGAGTTCAAGACCAGCCTGGCCAACATGGCAAAACCTTGTCTCTCCTAAAAATATAAAAATTAACAAGGCATGGTGGCAGGTGCCTGTAATCCCAGCTACTTGGGAGGCTGAGGCAGGAGAATTGCTTGAACCCCAGAGGTGGATGTGGCAGTGAGCCAAGATCGTGCCACTGTACTCTACCCTGGGCGACAGAGGGAGACTCCATTGCAAAAAAAAAAAAAAAAAAAAAAAAAAAAAAAAAAAGCACATGATAGAGTAGGATCATTATTATATAAATCATATACTACAAATACACACATACATGTACACAGGTGCTTCTCAACTTATAATGGGGTTACCGCTTAATAAACCCATCGTAAGTTGAAAATATCATAACTCAAAAATGCATTTAATACACCTAATGTAGTGAACATCATAGCTTAGCCCAGCCTACCTTAAATGTGCTCAGAAAACTTAAGTTTACCTGGAGTTGGACAAAGGCGTTTAACACAACCATTGAACACTCAGCATGTTTTATTAGAGGGTTGAATATCTCATGTAATTTATTGAATGCCATACTGAAAGTAAAAAACAATAGCTATATGGGTACTCAAAGCACAGTTTCTACTGAATGAGTATCACTTTTACATCATCTTAAAGTTCAAAAATCTTCAGTTAAACCATCATGAGTTAGGTAGGGACTATCTGTATACATATATGTGAATATACACATATATATGCAATACATATATGTGCATATGTACATGTGCTGTATATGTTATACATCTATAATGCCTATGGGTTTACATGTATGACACACATATTTGTGCATGCATACATGTCCATATATAGATGTGCACATCACATGTATACATACATATACAGATGTGCACATATGACAAAGGGTGAGAAATAGGGTTGGCCATAGAATAAGCTAAAGTAGGAATGATAGGAATTATGCCATCCACTTGCTCGCCTGTCAGGAATTTATCACAGAAATAGCCAAGGAAATAAGATTGATGTGTCTGGCAGGAGAAAATGGCCACGGGGACTGACAGTGTCTGACTGAGTGGGTTCAGGGAGAAATGGGCACGAGGCAGCAATGGCTACTGTTACGGGGCCTCAGTTCATCTTCAAGTAACCTAGAGAACTTCTGATAAAGTTGATTAGGACCTTGTGCTTTGTGAGGATTCCTACAGATGCAAGATGTAAATTCCTTTATAGCAGAGGCTGTGGAGGAGTTTCCCTTAAATCTTGAATTTCCAGGATGTAGCACTTGGTATGAAGACTTGGTCTATATGACTGGGAGAATCCTTATCTATCCTTAAAAGTTCCCCCAGGCCTCATCTTGTCAGCCTGCGGGTGTGAACCCTGCAGGATCCACAGAGGAGGAAGTCAGCATAGAGGCCCTAGACAGGGCCAGGAGGCAGGGGGCCAGCATGTCCTCGCTTGGTTCTCTTTGATGTTTTGCACAGCACCTTGGCTGATGATATGCCAGTGTCTTTCTCCTGGCTTAACTTTCACTTCCACCAAATGCTTGAAGCATAGCTACAGTCGGACCCAGAAACTCAGCTCTCTGATCAGGCTAAGACATTAAGACGGCGCATCCATGGCCAGGGACAGTGATTCATGCCTGTAATGGGAGGATTGCTTGAGGCCAGGAGTTCCAGACTAGCCTGGTCAACATAGCAAGATCCCATCTCTATTTAAAAGAAAAAAAGATGGTGCATCCTACCAGAATGGATATTTTCGGCTTATGGAAGGAGCATTGGCAATGGTGCAGGGAATCTGCATGACCTTGAAATCAAACACTCCTGGGTGTGAACTGCCGCTCTGTCAATTTGTGAGCTGTATGGACAACAGCAAATTATGACACTTCTTGGCCTCAGATTTTTCATCAGTAAAATAGAAGGTGTGAACTGGCAAGACTGTAGTCATATTAAAAATCAGATGTAATGGCTGGGCGTGGTGGTCACACCTGTAATCCCAGCACTTTAGGAGGCTCAGGCCGGTGGATCACCTGAGGGCAGGAGTTCGAGACCAGCCTGGCCAACGTGGTCAAACCCCATCTTGACTAAAAATACAAAGATTAGCCAGGTGTGGTGGTGGGCACTTATAATCCCAGCTACTCTGAAGGCTGGGGCAGGAGAATTGCTTGACCTGAACCTGGGAGGCGGAGGTTGCAGTGAGCCGAGATCATGCCACCGCACTCTAGCCTGGGCAACAAAGTGAGACTCCATCTCAGAAAAAAAAAAAAGAAAAAAAGCCAGGTACAGTGGCTCATGCCTGTAATCCCAGCACTTTTGGGAGGCTGAGGCAGGCGGATCATGAGGTGAGGAGTTCCAGACCAGTCTGGCCAACATAGTGAAACCCCGACTCTACTAAGAATACAAAACAATTAGCCGGGTGTGATGGTGTGTGACTGTAATCCCTGCTATTTGGTAGGCTGAGGCAGGAGAAGCGTGTGAACCCGGGAGGTGGAGGTTGCAGTGAGCCGAGATCGCGCCATCGCACTCTAGCCTGGGCAACAGTGGTAATATTGTAGCCTGCTTAGCACAGTGTGTGGCTCGAGATCATTGTCACAATGATGGAAATTATTTTCATGAACATAAAGCCTAGTCAGTAAGAATCATTCTTTCAGTGGTTATTAAGTCTGCTATGTGACAGGAGCAGTTCAAGGTACTGTGGCCAAATTGTGAAGAAAGCAGACAGATTTCATGGAGTGTCTCTTATAGGGGGTAGACAGAGAAAAGAGACACATAATGTGTACAATAATATTAAGTGTTGTGGAAAAAAAATAAGAGTGGAATGGGAATGGAATGACACTATGAAGACAGGGATAACATGTGAGCAGAGACCAAAAATCAGTGAGGAAGAAAGGCATGCTGGTTTCTGGAAAGAAAGGGTTTCAGCAGAGGAAACAGCAGATATGCAGCCCTTGAGTTGGGAGTGTGCTTGGCATGTTTGAGGAACACAGGAAGACTAGAGTGGCTTCTAGTAGATGAGGAGAAAGTGCTGGAAGTTGAGATTAGCAAGGTAGCTGGAGACCAAATTGTAAGAGAACTTCATAAGAGAACTAGGGTAAAAAAAAATTAAACTTAGTGTGCCGAGAAGCTGTATCAGTTAGCTTTTGCTGAGTAACAAGTAATCCTGAAACTTAGTGGCTGAAAATAACAAACGTTTACTATATTTTGCAGTGCTGTGAGTTAACTGTGGAGTTTCTTAACTGTGGAGTTTCTTCTCTGAATTGGCACAGCTGGGGCTGGATAGACTGAGATGGCCTCACTCACATGTCTAACTGCTGGATGCCAGTTCTGGGAGCCACTACATGTCTCTCGTCATCCAGCAGGGTAGCCCTGGAGCTGTTCCTACGATGGAAGTTGCAGGGTTCCAAAGAGCAGCAAGGAAAGGCAAGCCCCAGTGCACAGCACTTTCCAAATTGGCCAAGGCCAGTCACATGGCCAAAGTCAGAGGTCATATGGGAGG